TGGACAGCAGGGGGATGCTAGTGGGTGTGCCCTGTGGCAACAAGCGGCAAGCATGAGAGTGCAGAGAGGGCTGAAGAGGCGAGGCAAGGATCGAGAGGAAGCTGGGGCAGTATGCCGCGTCGGCGTGGTGGGTTTGGGCTGGCCAGCCTCCGACGGGAGCTGCACCTCCACAATTTATTCCGCGACTCGCCGCGCCGCGACGCGTCTTCTTCCGCGTCGCAGCGTGATTCTGCTGGCCTGCCTGTAAGCGCGACGTTTAGCGCGCATCTGACTCCGTCCGTACCGACGTCCGTGCACGCACGTCGCGAGTCGTTCCTCTACCGACCAAGTGAGGACACACGCGACGTTGCGCCACGACCGGTTAGTCGCGCGAGCTCCGTCGCCAGCAACGATCACGGGTACGTTCACCAATGCCTTTTTTATACTTCCTTTTATTTATTTGTATCTTTTTATTCGCATTATTATTTCTTTTTTCTTCCCCGAATACTTACGCCTATTGCCTATTCAATGTCGTCGACGCCGATCGTTTAGCACGTGGTAGGTAAAATTGCAGTGCCGAAACGTTTGTTCGCTCGCTTTTTCTCAGTCGATGTTATGAGTTGCGACCACACGATGAGCCTCGAACGTGACCTCATTTTCTTTTTTGGCCTGACCCCAACAAATGGGATGTCCTGGCCATTCATCCAAACATGTAGCAGGCCGGTAGCCTTACTCTACAACGTTGATGTTCACTTTTTTGTAGGAGATTTTCCTTTGTAAAGGTAGGGGGTAAGAAATAATGCAACATAATCGCTGCTGGCTGTTGGTGGTGATGAGAAAAGATCTGAGCAGAAGATGGCACGTTGATTAATACTTGCCGGCTAACGGGGGCAGTTGCTTCCATCGATTTAACACCAAACAATATTGCTTTGTTCGGGGAGGAGAAACGGGGATAGAGAGTAAGCACGATCGCAGCAGATCTGCTGCCCACACTGAAATCCCACGTCGGCGTGGCCATGGCCGTATGGCGTCTTGCACAGCATGCCCCCCTGCCTGACCAGCCAACCACTTAATTGCCGTATTAGGCATGGGCGCTTACCCTGTCTGCTTCTCCAACGCTGATCAAAGGAATACATTGTTCATGCGTTCGTGGGAAAGATGGGGAAGATAGTGAGAAGCACATCCGCACGTCCGATTACTCAATCCCCGTACAAAATTGACAAACCGCCCGTATTGAGCATACCCGAAGACGTAGCTGACTGGCTTTGTTCTGGGCGAGTGCAGAAAGACATGCGTGTTGAAAGGCATATTAGAGAGGGTGGCGTTTATGGCCATATGGGACCACGCAACGGATCTGCAACATGGCGATCAAGCCGTACGACGACGTCACTACGGCCGCCAATCGGCGGTGGTGGTGGTCGAGGCGCTCAGGCGCCATTGTGTCGATTTCCCTTAGTTTCCAAGTATCCCCTCCTGCAAAGAATGAACCAACAGCTGCCACTCCACACACTTCTCATTCCCCTTCCACACATTCATCGTCAATCGGAAGCTTTCAGCGTTGAAAATCGAAGTCAAATCGCCACGAACACTGAGGAAGTTCATCAATTCAAAATGAATGGGGAACTGGAAGTTTGGCTTCGCCGTTTAAACGATTTTCCAAACGGACGAGGCTCTTCATCGAGCCACAAACTTTTTTTTCCAACTCTCCATCTAATGAGGTTTCTAGAATGAGGATGGAACGAAAGTCGATTCTCTATGACCAGGAGGCTACGATGGAGCTGCAGCGTTGAGCAAATTCCAAAGTTCCCCTGTGTTAGTGGTTCTCACTGGCCTTTCGGACGTCAATCTACATTTTTTGAATAAAGAATAGGGAACAGTTGTGCCTCACACACTGGCTGGCTGGCTGGCAAGCGACATCCGTGGCGCTGAGGGTTAGGGCAGTTCGTGCCCTTCGTACCTTCCGAACGCCATATGCCTGCCTGTTTTGCAGCAGTAGTCTGCGATCGACGTCCCTGATCTGTTCGGCAGCTTCACAACTTGGCTCTCTTGTAGCCCCTTGTATTCACACATTTCTACCCTCATATGACCTCTCAACCACCCATTAGGGACAATTTCTGATGGTGGTGACGTCGACGAGGGGCGTTTTATCGCTATTCAGCTTATCATTCGCTTTGTGGTGTGAGTGTGTGGTGCTGCCGTTGTGGTGATCCCAATCATTCGTCTCTATTGCCCTTCCAACTGTAAACTGGCGATACATTCGTTATGATTAGACGAACACAGAGTTCACGAATACTCATCAATCGCTTGGCATCCTATCCTCCCGAGTCTACATTGTGAGTAATTTCCCGTATCACGTTCATGATGTCATGTCTCAACAACGATTTGTTCAGGCTCATAAACAGACGTCATAGTATTTTCCATCAAGAAATCCACGAATGTCCAAGGATAACAATAAGGTGAAGCTGAACGTTTTTCTGGCGTGAACGTCACTTTTGATGGCCATCGCTGAAAAAAACCCGCTCAAATGGTGGCAATTTTTCGTGCGACCAACATTACCCGACGCGAGATGACGACGACGTGGCGCCGACGACGACGCCGTCGTGGTGAGAGTGAGAGAGCAGCCAGCGGCTCCCCGCTGTCGGATAATGAGATCGGATGAGACGCCGCCATGACTGCTACATTCGATTCCCGATGCAATTGACCATTTCCCAAGCAATGCTGTCATCTGAAGCATGTGGGGTTCCTTTGTTGCTTGTTCCAAACAGGTACCATACCGCTACATGTAAAAATAACGTTCCGGGGTTTACTCATAAAAGGAATCGTAGTACATACTCCGGACTGCCTAGACCTCCTGGAGTACCGCTCCTGAGTGGGTGATAATTTGACATCTGGCTTTGGGATCGTTTTTGCGACATTGAGGTATCCCCTCTGGTGGCGGATATGTTTACGGAAGTCGACTTTTTTTCTGACGTAAAACGATACATTACTGATTCTCAGGGCTTTTCCACAGGGTCCTGATGATTACGATGTCTCCCAACCACGAAAAGGTCAACTGGTTTCAATGGTGAGATCCCCAAGGTTTGATTTTCCCCAGGAAAGAACTTACCTGAAAAGAGTATGGCTGTGTGGCTTTGTTCGGTGAGGTTCGGATCAATATGCGAGGAATGTGCGTTTTTCTTGGTGAGAGACATCGAAACCCTAGAACCTTGCAGTTAAACTCGTCCAACGTCTATAGGCTATGTCTGTGTGAAAGTGGGAATCCCTCAAATATAATAATTTCATTCGGGAAAACGTCCAAGCGGTCTAATTTCACCTGGATGGCTGAACTATTTAGATAGGCGCTATCGAAGAACGGACTTTCCAAGAGATGCCAATTTCATGGCTTCGGGCATTTCTACAGCCCATCCCCTTAAGATAAATGTAGCAGATAAGATCGCGAACCTGGTTTCCATATTGGGCCTATTGCCCCTGTTTGAATGACGGGAGTAATGGCATGAATGTTTAAATCGCCAGGATACTGTCCACTTCTATTTTCCGTTCCTCGATTGAATCCTGAATCAAGGAGAGTTTCAGAGTTCCCCATTCACCTTAGGCTATCCCGGAATAGTTTGCAGATGTCCTTTACTCACAACAAAGGTAGCGGGGTAACTCGGCCATATTCCAACCCCGCCATGTTACAATAGATTAGGAAATTTATGGACTTCTTGTTTATTTGCCATCCTATGGACCTAAAAAAGCTACCCAGAAGTAACAGGCTGGGCTAGAATAAAAAATAAACAAATTTCAAAGTCTCGTGCCTTGACCGACTCCATTCTGGGTAGCTCCCACTCACTGGACTTTCATTCAGTATCGTCCTGACAGGGGGATACTTGAAAACATAGATATGTGAGGATTAAGAGATGTAAAATTCAGTTCTCTTAACCTCCTGGATGAGTACAGGTTCCGGATCTGGGAGGATGGAAGACTCCGGAAGGTTGCCCCATGAGGATGTCGATCCGGGATTCAATTCATGGATCATGCTTGTGAGGATAGTGCGTCACTTGGCATTACCTCATCTCTGCCATC